TTTCCTATATGCATTCATCATATTTGCATTTTGTTCTGACAGCAAGTGCCTCTGCAATCAGCTCTGTGGTCTCAAAGACAAAAGTCTCTGAGGTCAAATTTCAGTTCTGGAGTTCCTTTTAGCTGCTCCTCACACACCACAACACAAGCGCCGTTTGTTCATCTTTGAATTTGTGTGAAAAGCCTGCTGATGTTTAAAAGGTTGGGTTTAGGCATGTAGCTGCGATGGATATGCTCAAGAGTTTGGGAATACATCATGCCAATGAAGATCCTCACAAGTATCAAAGTACATAAATATGTGTTTGTTTGTGTGTTGATGTCCTCGGGGTCAGCATGAGCCACTGGCTGGATCAATCCCGGTTGACGTGCTCAGAGCAGCACAAATCACTAGCTGTACTCAAACACACACTATCCCAAATGTAGAAAACAGGAGCAGACTCACACTCCTCCCTTCCCTTTTCCATAGCCCATTAAAGGTATTGACGATTCCACACCCCGTGTTTTTTTCCTCTAATTGGTCTATATACAGCAGACCGGACAGTGATGCTAATGAAGCCTGTGTAACATTGTGTTCAGAACAGACTCTGCAGTCCATGGAAATATGGACCGCTGCTCTGGTTGTTCTTTCCAGCATCGATTCTCTCGCCGCTTCAGCAGCAGCACTCTGCTCTCCTGGTAAATCTCTCTGCCTCTGTTCTCAGAGGGATGACAGCGAATCTGCTTGTGTGTTGCTCACCTGCTCGTTCCAGCGTCAGCCACTCTCAGTCTTAAACAGGAAGTAGGGGTGCGAGGGAAGCATGAGGCCCTGGGTTCGCTCAAACAGGTCCAGATCAGTCCAGGTAAGACTTGTTTTTTTCTGATTTTTTATTTAGTCATAAATAAAATATATCAAACATATATGAATCCAAGTGCTAAAGGATGCGAGTGACCATGCTTATAAGCCATTTTTAGGGTTTTAAATCTTTAACAATTTAATACTAATGAAAGAGTATACTTTGACTTTTTGTCCTTTTATACCAATCAACCATAGTAAAAAGTGTAACGTTATATAATGATGGCATCTGTGTGTGTGGGCTTGTTTTACTATATTCATGGGGTCCAACAACCCAGGATTCCACTATGCTTGTGGGGTCAGACAGCTTTCTGGGGCCCAAAATGCTGGATCCCAAAAGTTTAAAGGGCTGTTTGGTGGTTAAGTCTTGGTTTTAGGGTTCAGGTTAGGCATGTAGTAGTGATGATGAATGTTAGTGCATTCCCTAAACCCTTACCCCATGTCAATGACAGGTCCCCACAAAGATAGTGACACAAGGCTGTGTGTGTGTGTGTGTGTACATACAACTAGCTTTTATGCATTTTTCAGGTCACAAGTCAAGATTTGAATCAATATTTCATGTCATGATATAAAGATCCCTAAAAACCATAAATGATAATGCTTAATGAAGTCAAATTCTTTACCTCTGCAGGAAACTATTTTGGTTTTGTTGGACAGAATATGTGACAGAAAAGTCACAGTTACACCACAGCTTCCCCCTACAGATTCATTAGATTAGATCATTAGATTCTGAATCCCTCTGTGAAATAAATGTGTGTATGATTCCTAAATGCTTTAAGATGTAGAATTCATGAGTTTTCAGAATTTACATAAAAGTGTATCACTCTTCTCGAATCTGTCCTGATTTTCTCAACTGTGAACGAGCTGATTAAAAATCTGCAGCATCTGTATCACTGTGATGAATTAGGCAGTTCAGGTGCTGCTTGTTCATATTTATAGTATGTATTTATAGAACCCAGAGTTTCACAGTCAGAAGAGAACTGTATGAAATCTGTCGGGTGTCCATTTGTGCATACAGAATTTAATGTTTTAGCATTAGCAAAAAAGAAACAAAAGGTTCTGGGCTGTAGTGCAATACAACGCCTTGTCATCCGGGATTATATTGGTGCAGCAAATTGACATCATATCACATATCTTAGTTCTGTTCTTCAAAATGTAACTTTGAAATGTAAAAATGAGATCTGGAGCTACAACATGGGATACATACCACTGTGCTTACAACTGTGGTAATTAGACCTGCTGTTTAATTACTCTTCTAAGTTGTGAATAACTGTTAGTTAAATTGTTTTCAGTACTCTTAATACTACTACAGAAGGAGATTTCCTGGTAGGTCTCATACACACACACTGCTTCATGGCGCATGAATGGAGCGATTGTGTCTTTACAAACATGAGGAGAAGGGTGGGTGACAGACATTTTGTTTTGAATTACGTTTATTTTTTCTTAATCTTCTTTTAAAAACCAAAAACAGAAAACATTAAACACAAACTATGTGCGAGCTAAACTGGTCTGGCATCTTGAATCTTAATCCAAATTGACAAATGGAGGAGACACAATATTGGTGACAATAACTCAAGGATGGTAGCATTAACCTTTACCTTCTCAAAGTCTGCAGAGGGTCCTTCACAGTGCTCTAAGTGACAGGTCTGTAGTAGAGTTTAGGACACCTAGGAAAACAAAGGAATAAACCGGTGGTGTCTTCCAAATCTGGAAGAAAGAAAGACATGTTTGGAGGAGCCTTTAAAACTGAACATACTTGCGGACCCATGATGATTTGAATCAAAATCAAGTTTATTGACAAGTAGGTTTTCACACACAGGGAATTTGCCTTTGTATTTTGGTGCATAACAATAAACATAGTACAAGTACTGCAAAAGTCAAGAATCATTACACATAAAATAGAAACATTTACCATGAAAATGTGAAAAAAAAATTAAAAAATGTACAATATATCTGTTTTAAATAGAAAAGAGCTGTGCAGTGTTAGATCTAGTGTGCAGACTGAAGGAGGCAATTCCTTGAACTGAAAATCTTCCAGCCCAGAGGACTGTTGACAAAGTATATGCAATGCATAATAATAATAATAATTTATAAAGCTGGGGAAGGCAACATTGGAGAAAGCAGCAAGAAAAAGCTACATTTTGAAAGTATCTCACCAGAAAAATCCCACCGCCTCCCTGCAGCCCTATCTCCAAAGCCCCTTCCCAAAACACATTTTCATGTGCAGTGAGAGCACGAGCAGAGTGCAGGCAGGTAGGCAAATGCTTGGCTATGCTTAATTCAGTCCTGCAATAGCCACATATACCAGTTTTTTTATTTTATTTTGTGTAGAGAATTTTACTTATTGATTGCTGGTGGGATGTAAAGACAATTTCAACTGATATATATATAAAAAACATGCTTCTGACAAAAACTCCCCAAGCCAAGGGCGTCACTTTGTGTTGAAAAGTGGTGGAGACATAAGGGCTCAGACTAGGGATGTGATGATACACAATTTTGGGTTCACAAGAACAAGACAAGAAGAATATTTTAACACTATTTTGAAGAAATATGCAATGCTGAAATGTTTTAGTAGGTGGTCTGCGGGACCTCCCACAGAACAATTTGAGCATTAAAATATTCTCCATTCTGGAGAAACTTTTTGCACCAATTTTTTGGTGGAAATGTTTTTATCTAGACTATGTAAAGGGAAACACAAAATTCCTGTGGCAGATGACAATTCAAAATATAAAAAATAAATAGAAGATTATGCGGTAAGGCTTATAGGCATTATGTAGCTTGTAGCTATTGCTTCTAAATATGTTTTCTCCTGTAGATAAACTTTTCTAATTGAATAAAATCCCTGCCAAGTCAGCACACATGCTTAGCCTTCCCTCCTCTTTGTGTCTGTTGTGTAAATGTGCACGTGGCATCTTTTCACCTTAGTGATAAATTAATTCATTTTAATTTAGTTATAAACTCCTGAACTTTAATAGCTCCCGCGTTTCATCAGGTATTCTGCTCATGTTCAAATCTTTCTGCACATTCAGAATCTCTCCCACATGTCTGTGTTCTGACATGTCGAAAGTAATCAGTAGCTTAAGTTAGTTTTTTTGGACAAGGAATTTGTTTCTTCCATGTTTACATTGCATTGCATTGATTGTGCAAATAAAGCTTTATCAAAGCATTTTCATTTGTTATTTAAACATTTTTTTAAGAAATTCTTTCAAATATCAACATCACTAAGAACCTGACATGGTCACATCTCCATGCTGGTGAACTGTACTTCTTAAGAAAATTTAAGAAGGCTTAATTTATCGTGTCAAGTTCTTGTCAGCTTTAACAGAGGAGCAATAGAAAGCAGACTGACTGGAAATATCACAAACTGGCATGGGATGTGCACGATCCAAGACCAGAGGGCTCTGCAGCGAGTGATTAAAACCGCTCAGAAGTTCATTGGTACCCATCTCCCGAGCATCAGTGATATTGGTGAGGTGAGGTGCAGGATACTAAAAGACAGTACCCACCCAGCCACAGCCTGTTCACCCTGCTGCCTTCTGGGAAGAGATGTAGAAGTTTCAGCTGCCGCACCACCAGACTTCAGAGCAGCTTTCCACCCCAAGCGATCAGACATTTAAACTGAGATTCATCCTCAGCACTGCTCCACTGAATGTAGATTATTTGTTTAGCATTTTTATGAAAGCTTTTGGGTCACTGTATATTGTTTGCTATGAAGCAGTAGGGAGTTAAACTTAATTTCACTTTTCAACATGTTGTAAAGTGACATGTGTGAAATGTGTAAAATAAACCTACCTTTTTTTGAAAAAGTGATGCGCACAAAATCGACAATTTCAAAAAGTGTCATGTGTCACGTCCCTAATGTCATCCAAACAGCCACAATTTCTTGTCTGTTGCCACCAGGAGGCGATAATGATATTTTAGAAGAAAGAAATGAGCCCGTGTTGTTTTTCCAGGAGGGGAAATTCAAGAGATATTGTCATGGAAAGTAAACTGAAACCCTTTATTGTTGTTTATGTGCACATAAAACTGCCTTAAAAGTAAGTAATTTTCACTTTAAACTGGATTGTAATACAAGCAGATGCTCGTTACGACTTCCAGAACCTCGGAAGACTGATTTCCCCAGGAGTTCCTTGAAAGCAGCACCGACGCAGCCCCGCTGACGTCTCGCACCCTCCCTCTTTCTCTTGTCACCGTGTGTGTGTGTTTTTCGGGAGGTGGAGGAGGGATGCCGTTTTCTTTCGCGATCACAGAAAGCAAATGTTATGTTTTCCGACACATCTTCGTGTTCGTGTTCCCACGCGGGAGGCTTTTTTATTCCCCTGACAAACGCAGTGACGGTCACACCGAATGAGAGGCGCTGAAGATCGGACTGGACTGAGGGGAAGAACCGGAGACTGGCTGGGAGGGAGGCAGCACATCCGCTGCTTTCTTTAATTCAACCGCAGCTTGCAGTTGATTTTAATCCCAAGGCCTGGCACGTTTGTCTGTCGCCTTCTTCAAATGTTGTCTTATACGGTCCTTGCCTCTGTTTCCGTGACTATTTCTCCGCGACAGCTGTCGTTTTGACGTTTGTCACCCAGAAAAATATTCGCCAGCAAACGGGGGGGCAGAAACTCCCCCTTTCTTCTCTCAACTCCAACCCGCGGTGGTCGCGCAGAGACCTTCTGTCCTTCTCTTTAACCCTTATAAGTCGCCCCAATGGTTGCGTTATTTTTGTTTTCTCACCAGAAGACTATGCAGCTGAGAGGAAAGCGATCACCACCGGGATTGTTTTATTAATAACGACCCAGCCAGTATCCACCATAATGGTACGATAGCGTCTGGGAAAGGATTGGGGGGGAAGTGAAAAGCTAAGTGGAGGGTGTGTGTGTGTGTGTGTGTTGGGGGGGTGTTCAGTCTGGGCTGGGGTGTTTCTTTTCCTTCAAGTGAGGCTGTGCTGGTACCAACAACACCACACAGACAGACATGAGGTGAATGTAGCGAAACATTTTGGGTTTTTTACGCATCATTTTAAGCTGGATCACGGTCTTGCTGATCCGTGCTGCCTTCACGGACTGTGACAATGAGGATTGTATGAGAAGTGCAGCTGTTTGCCCCCCCCCCACTCCCCCCCCCACCCCCGATACACAGAGCCTGGTGTGACTGACAACCAGGCTAATCTGGGGTGTTTTTTCTTTAACCCAGTGTGAGCACAAACCCACTTCTTTATTTTCTCTTGGACGGCGAAGCGCACTCAGGACGAACATGTCTTTACGCACGGCACTGCCTGGGAACGAGAGGAACCCGGACCATGTAAGTAGATAATTAAAAACACCGAGGGCGTCTATTTGTCACCTTCAGCAGGAGGAATATGTTACCATTAACCTTTACTGTGCTTTTGAAGAAAATGATAATAATAACCCCCAGGCCTTGAGATTAGTGTGCCATGTGCAAAGAGCAGCTGCAGTCAAGCAAGGCGACGTTAATCTCCCCTAGCTCATTTGGGACAGGTTGCAATTGGACACACAGGCGGGAGATGAAGGACGGGGGGTGAAGAGTCGTGCATGTGTGTGACATTGATCACATGCAAAATGCACAAATGTAATCAATCAATGAGTTGCCTAAAAAAAAATAAATAAAAAAGAATCTCCCTCGACTTTCACCACCTTCACCTACCGGTGTCTTCAGTGCGCATGTTTTTCTTTCCCCCCAGCTGATCAATAATGTATGCATCTGATACAAGGCCACCCAGCCCTTTCCGCACCCAGCCAGCCCTGCACCCACCCCTGCCTTTCTCCTCCATCACCTCACTTCCAGCTCTTCACCTTCTCTGCCCCCCTCCACCCCAAATGGTCTGTCTGGTATCCCCTTTAATGGAACAGCGTGAGAGGCAGCTCAGTTGGCGGCACAGGATTGCAAAATCTGCTGTGTCAGGCTAGCCTGGTCTGTCCTGCTGATGTTTTTCTGTGGGAGCGTCTGGGTTTTGGGGAGACAGGACTTTGATTTGAATGGCTTTTGAAGCATATAACAGTTTTATTAGGATTTGTTTTGTAAAGATTCTTGTTTGGAAATGAGCATCTCTCTAATATCTCCTTCACCATATACTGACATCAGTAGTGTGGCTGTACAGAGAATCCCCACCTTTTTCATCTCAAGGACACCAAGCTTACACCAACCTAGCAGCCTGAAATATCACTCACTCCTTTTGGATTTGAAGCTCTCACAATGAGCTTCCCCCCTATTTTGTTAAGAGAATGTCATCACTACCCCAATCCCTGTATGTCTGGTGATGTCTCGTGTGAGATAAATGACAGCCACCAGTAGTTAGCTTATTTCCTGGGCTTTCACATTAACCTTTGACCACAGCGAGCGACGTGTTGAATTTACGCCATATTTTGGGTGCGACCCTCTATTTTTTTTTAACTTTTTATGTTAACCCCTGGATTGTGGATGGTTTGGACAGTTTGTGTCAGGCCACACCCAGATGCAGACTCCAAAAAGTGGCACTGCATTTAGATAGCCTGTTATTTCAATAAGAAGAATAAAGACACTTAGTCATGCTAATAAGAAACTCCCTTTCCAGTTACTTTTCTAAAGTATCTATTCATAACAGTTTCTCCAGCACAAAACAGAGCAGTACACGAATAATGGTGCCTATCAAATGCTTGATTCACTTTCATTTTTGTCATAAGTTTCTGCCGGTAAAAGCAAGATGACTGATTGATCACAGTAAATTAATCACAGTAAATCCAAGGAAGGTTAAAATCAAGGGCAACTGGACTTGGCTGAAGATACTTCTGCCTCTCATTCAAGCTGTTTAACACTGGGCATGCGCATGCCATTGTAAACAAAGCAGATGGTCTAATCTGTGGTTGCAGAAGAAGAATAAAGTACAAACAGAGGAAAATTCACACCAGATTTTTTTTTTTTTAGTTGTAGGGACCAATAACAAGCTGGGACTGTTTCTGAATGTAACACGAGAGTTTAAAGCAACTGTGGCGGCGGAAAACAGACTGGAAGTTGTCGCAGTACAAGTGTAGGCAGGCTGTAAGTGTTATTTACACAGTACAGAATATTTTAATAAAAATACCAAATCAAAAACTCTGTGAGTAGCATCGTGTTTCTACTTTGCATGACTTATAAGACCCAATCAGAGAGCACAACCATGAGCGTCTGCATTATCGTTTCTAAAGTCCTCCGTATTTGCCCGTCAACACTAAAACGCTGCCCGGAGTTTCCAAACTTCTTCTTTTTAGGTATTCGTTCTCGCCGTTTTAGTCTGGACGGGAGGTGCAAACGTGGCAAAAGGTCTCCGTTTTAAAACGAAAACGCGGTAGTGTGGACGGGGCCTTAATGGACGGGATTCTCTACCAGTCAGTCAGAACTGAAGAAGCCTCTTCGATGAGAGGTGAGACGTCTTCAAGTATCCACCCCTTTACCCACAATTTCATGCACAGTCATCTCACTGAGAGAGTCTTCTAGATATGCAAGTAAGCACACACAGTAGCTTTGTTCACTCAGTCTATATATGGCGTACAATGTACAGTCTCTTGCAATATATTATCGAAACACTGGCTCGTGTCCAAGTTGCTGTGTGCACTCAGACTCTATATGCACTTTCATTGTGGAAGCTGTAATGTAATTAGGATGCTCACAAGTGATTTTGATCTATTTTGATCCAAGAAACAATCCCACTACTCCCTACTCTCTCGCTCTCTCTCTCTCTCTGGCTTCAACAATGCTGAGGTCTTACCTTACTCCTCCACTCAGGCTAAGAGCTGTGTGGTGAATGTCTGGAGTAGATGCTGATGCAGCTGCCTTTGCAAATTTTAATATGGAGAGCTAAATATCTTTATACACAATAGCTTTTGAATTATTTGAGAATTTGCAGTTTTGTTTTTACTTAAGTAGGATTTAGAAGTGAGTAAATTTTGGTTTTGTGATTTTGAGCTAGATGTTGAACGTGATGTTGGTGTATAAAAGTGCTCTACATTTACTCATTTATCCAAAGGGACTTACAGTTGCTATAAATGTCAGAGGTCGCATGCCTCTGGAGCAACTAGGGGTTAAGAATCTTGCTCAGGGACACATTAGTGCAGAGGTCACTAATAGGCGGACCGCGGTCCGGATCCGGACCCAGCCGCCATCCTCTCCGGACCGCCGACCTACAGCACATTTATTATTGAGACTTACTACCTCGTGACGGAGCGTTTCTATTTTAACCCGCGCAGCTTTTCTAGCATTTACTGTACTGGTTTAGAGGACCAGGAAACTCACAGACCAATCGCATGTGCTCCAATCGTCTCATGTGACGCTGCTCAGCCAATCAAATCTGTGCATACCGATGCGAGTCGAGTCCGCGAGATTCACCGACGTTTTCCGAATTGAGGAGACGAGATTTCACATGACCACAGATTTTTACATGTACATTTTTCAACACACCCGAATTGAGGAGACGAAAGATAAAAGAGATTTCACATGACTTTTTTATTAGGCACTTTAGTTTACTTAAATTTTGAATTTATTATTTGAATAGTTATTATTTATTATCCTTCCAGTTTGATGTGAAAACTGAAATATTATTTGATTTGACAGTCCGTTGTTGACTAAAAACATGTGTTGATATAACTATAGGTTATAGTACTGAATGATAACGCAAGTTCGTCGTTTTGATGTTCCGGACCTTTGCTTCAGGAAATTTTCTCTAACTAGACCTCTTTGAAATCTAATTGAATACCCCTGCATTAGTGGATGTGTCACAGTGGGGAATTGAACCCAGGACTCTTATCCACTGTTCCGTCACCACCCATATGCTGTAGAGGTCAGAAAGACTAAATAGGCACGACGTGTTATATGAATGTTTTGGATGCATGTGTGTTTTCTGGGTGTTTTGTAACATGTCTGAGCATGTAACGCAGAAAGTGAATGTACGACACGTAATATTTATCCTCCCGTGGCTTTGTCATCTTCTGAGATAATTATCACCGCATCGAGTGATAATTCAACCACAGCGCTCATGACACGACAGCCAGAGCTTTCACACCAGGATCCGCAATTTGCATGTTCGTGCTCTCTGTTCCCTCCATCGTCTTCTCATTTCACTTCTCCTCCCCACGTTACCCCCCTTTACTTCTGACTCCATCAAGTCCTCTGGATCCAAAGTCACTGAAACCAGACATAAAGGCAAACATCCCTTCCGCTCTAGGCAGCAGCCATGTCCTCCGTCCTTCTCCTCTGTTCACCACTTGGACAAGTAAACAAATCTTTTCGGATCTCTTTACACATTATGTAAGTCCGGCAGTTGCACATTTGTGTATATTATTGTATCCGTTTGTGCTAGATTTTAAATGTTTTCATGACATGAGTACAAATTATGTAGGTTGTCCAGACAACATGCATCAGAAAGTTACTTTTAACCTTCGCAATGCTGTTATCATCATGAAGGTTTTGCCCATGTAGTATTTTAGTGGGTGACCTCTTTCATATCTTTGTTGCCATTAGCTCCTTGTGTCCTCTGACACATTTTGCTCGTACCATGACATTACTCTGGGATTGTATCTTTATTCACCCTCCTATAGTTTCCTCATTTCCACGTACAGCCTAACCTGCTGAACCTGCATCTGTTAGAAGTCTGCAAGTGTTTCACTTCAATCCTTTGTTCATGTGTTCTCTTCTCAGTGTGTTGTGTTGGTCAAGTCTTGTATTTGTGTTTTTTATTTCTATTCTTAGGGGATATAGTGTTTTGTTAAGGTTAGAAGAACAAGGGAAATCCCTTCAACCCCTTGATGAAATCCCTTTAAAGGGAGGACATATTGTCACGTAAGTTATAGCACTTGGCTTTAGATTCAACCATGTGGTAATAAAGTTCAGAGCTGGAATATAGCCAGTCGGCCTTGCAAGTACAATAAGCAGGTATGCATGTATGTCTGTGCTTTTTGTTGCTGTACTGTGGGAAATGGACAAACTAATGCTTGGGGCAAGTCATGAGCTTTTGAGAGAGAGAAAAGGAAGTCGTATAGTAGGTGTGGGTGAATGCTTGTGTGCACATGTACAGCTGTGTTTTCTTACAAAAAGAAAGCTTGCATGTCTTTCTGTGTGCCACCGCAGGGCAGAGCAGGGCTTTTGTGTTCCCAGTGCAAGCGAAAGATTCATGAGCTTGCTGTCCTGACTTGTTATCCAAAAGCTGGCACCCACCTCTGCCGCCCCTGATGGTATTCGTTTCACCTAGAAACACACCAGATACAGTCATAAACAGCTCCAGGCTTTTATTCATCTGGTCCGCTGAGGCCAACCGGACCGTGCATGATCGGTAT